GCTCTTGTTACCCAGGCTGGAGTGCAATGGCGCGATCTCGGCTCACCGCAACCTCCACCTCCTGGGTTCAGGCAATTCTCCTGCCTCAGCCTCCTGAGTAGCTGGGATTACAGGCACGCGCCACCATGCCCAGCTGATTTTTTTTTGTAGTTTTAGTAGAGACGGGGTTTCACCATGTTGACCAGGATGGTCTCGATCTCTTGACCTCGTGATCCACCCGCCTCGGCCTCCCAAAGTGCTGGGATTACAGGCGTGAGCCACCGCGCCCAGCCCATGCTTGCATTTTTTAAAGAAGGTCTTCCAAAGGTTATTGAGGAAGAGGACACATTTGCAGGGGATTTTTATGTAATTACTTGGGCATTTTGGTATTTTCCAAATATTCTATGATGATTACTGCCTGTGTCCTCCAACAAAAATCAAGAAATAAATCTTAATTAACATGTCACTGCTAGATATAAAATGTTCAATGAAAAGGGAATTATTCTACTAAATATTTTCAACCTTTATCTGAGCAGTTAAGACAGGCCAGAGCTGGGTGCAGTGGCTCACACCTGTAATCCCAGCATTTTGGGAGGCTGAGGCAGGAGGATTGCTTGAGGCCAGGAGTTTAAGACCAGCCTGGCCAACATAGTGAGACCTCATCTCTCCAAAAAATGTATAAAAATCAGCTGGGCATAGTGGTTTGCACCTGTAGTCCCAGCTACTTGGGAGGCTGAGGGAGGAAGATTGCTTGAACCCAGGAGGTAGGGGTTGCAGTGAGCTGTGATGGTGCCACTGCATTCCAGCCTGGACAACAGCAAGACCCTGTCCCTCCTGCCCCCGCCAAAAAAAGGCCAGGACTTGCCAGATGGGGGGCTGGGTGGTTGATCTGACCTCTGCCCTCTGGGCAGTCAGGTAGGCAGGCTGCCATCTCTGACCCACATCTGCCACTCGGCTTTCTGGCTCCGTCTGACCACATACCTGCAGGGTGTGGCTCAGTCAGATCGGCAGCGGTGTGGCCTCACCCAGGCGGCTGCAGGACAGGTTTGTCTGCCCCAGGCCCCAGACTCAGAGGCCCACTCTTGTGGGTGAGAGGGGAGCAAAGAGGTCAGGGCTAGGTCAGGGCCCAGACCCCTTGAGGGCCAGGCAGCCATTCAATGGCTGTTCCCACCACACCCCCAGCTGACTGCATCCCTCCTCTGCCTCTAACCCTCCACGGCTCCAGCAAGCTCCTCGCTTCGCACTGAGGGGCCCGTGTGGCTTGGTCCCTTGCCACCTCTCCAGGTATCTCTCTCTCTCGCTCCACCGAGCCAAGCTCTCTCTTTCACCATCTGAGATTAGAGAATGGAAACAAGAAACTGCTGTATAGCAATCGAGCAGGGCACATGCCTCTGACTACATCCACTTTTGCTTAGACTCCTTCCATGAGGGCAAGTTACTGTTTTGTTTTGTTTTGTTACTAAAATGTAAAGACCCACACCCCTGCCCTTTCCTCGGGCATCTGGTGCCCACCGATTCCTCCTCTCTGGTCACCATGTCCTTGGCTGGCATCAGAAGAATAGGTATAAACTTCCTAGTACATAAGAAGATCTAGTTTGACAAGTTCAAATACAACGATGCAGAAAGGAAATTCTATGGGCAGATGAATGGGCCTGCTGTGGCCGGCACCTCCCGCCAGATCAGAGCAAGCGTGATCCTCTGTGATATTGCAAGGGTGAGAGAGAACATCCAGAAATCCCTGGCCGGAAGCTCAGACCCCGGGGCCTCCAGCGGCCCCAGCGCAAACCACCATGAGCTGGTGGTCCCGATCGCGAGCCTGGAAGTGGAACCCCCTCCCGCGCGGGCGTAATGCAGGAGCTGCAGGCAGCCTACCGTGTGTCTCCAAGCTGGAAGCCGAGCCTGCCGAACATGATGGCTTTGACCTGTTTGTCAGCAACAATGATATGAGGATAGGGAGGCAGCGCGGCTGCAGGAGGAGCAGCTGTGGCGGCCCACGGAGAAGAAGGACAAGAAGGCGGGGCGCAGTGGCTCACGCCTGTAATCCCAGCACTTTGGGAGTCCAGGTGGGTGGATCACCTTAGGTCAGGAGTTCAAGACCAGCCTGGCCAACGTCATGAAACCCTGTCGCTACTAAAAATACAAAATTAGCCAGGTGAGGTGGCTCATGCCTCTAATCCCAGCTCCTCGGGAGGCTGAGGTAGGAAAATCGCTTTAACCTGGGAAGCAGAGGTTGCAGTGAGCCGAGATCGAGCCACTGCACTCCAGCCTGGGCGATAAAGCGAGACTACGTCTCAAAAAGAAAAGTCCAAGAAGTTGTGCTGGTGGCCAAATCCTCTATCCTGCTGGACGTGAAGTCTTGGGACGATGAGAGGGACATGGCCCATCTGGAGACCTGTGTGTGCTCCATCCAGCTGGATGGGCTGCTCGGGAGGGCCTCCAAGCTCATGCATGTGGGCTACAGTATCCGGAAGCTGCAGATTGACTATGATTAAAAACTGAGAATGGGGCCAGGCGCGGTGGCTCACGCCTGTAATCCCAGCACTTTGGGAAGCCGAGGTGGGTGGATCACGAGGTCAAGAGATCGAGACCATCCTGGTTAACATGGTGAAACCCCGTCTCTACTAAAACTACAAAAAATTAGCTGGGCATGGTGGCGCGTGCCTGTAATCCCAGCTACTGAGGAGGCTGAGGCAGGAGAATTGCGTGAACCCAGGAGGCGGAGGTTGCGGTGAGCCGAGATCGCGCCATTGCACTCCAGCCTGGGTAACAAGAGCGAAACTCCGTCTAAAAAAAAAAGAAAAAAAAAACCAACCACATCCCTTTGACCCAGCTGACTCTGCTTCTGGGAGTCTATGCTGCACATGCACTCAGGAATGCATGCAAAGAAAGACCTATGCACCAGGGTAATGGAAAAGCGGAAACGAAGACACAGCCTGGGCTGGGCATGGCGGCTCATGCCTGGAATCCCAGCACTTTGGGAGCCC